GTCCTCCACTGTCCCCTTCGTGCCTTCTCTTTCCTCCCGACCTCTTCATGGTGGATGTCCCCACAGCTCAGTTCCTGATGGTCCCTCTCTACACCAACGGAGGTCTCATCCAGTCCTGCGCCTTAAATACCATCTGGAAGCCAGTAACTCCTAAATGTACACCTCCAGGCCGCTGTCATTGAGTTCAGACACAAATACATGTTAAACTGTCTACCAGACATCTCTGTCCAGATGTCTGCTAACCATGTCCGGTTCAGCACACCTGAAGCCAGATTACTGATCTTCCCCGAGTCTGGGCCACCCACAGCCTCCCCACCCGCGTTACAGCAACTTCATCCATCTTCCCGGGTCCTGGGGCAAAAATCCTTAGAGTCATCTCCACTGCTTTCTTCCTTTTGCACCCCATGACCTGTCCATAGAGAAGTATTGAAGGTTTCCTAGCTTGAAAATAGATCTAGAAAATAGATCCGCCCCCTCACTGGTGCTGCACTACCAGCCCACGTGGGCAGCCAGCACCTCCGCCAGAACCACTGAGCTGGTCTCTTAGGCGCCCCTCAGCCGGTGGGGGTGGGGGGTTGGGCGGGTCCTGTTAATAAATGAGATCATGCCACTCTGTTCGGAACCCTCTGAGGGCTTCCCCTGGCATTCTGAGGAAAAGTTCTCGTCTTCCCTGTGGCCTGTGAGGTCCACATGACCCAGCTTCTCTCTTGCTCTCTGGCTTTGTCCCCTCTTCCTTCACTGAGCCTGGCCTCCGGGCCTTTGTACCGGCTGCTCCCTCTGCATGGAAGCTTTTTATGCTGGACATCAGCGTGGCCAATTCCCTCCCCTCTGGAGATGGTTATTCTGAATGTCACCTTCTCAGTGAGGCCACTAGAGCACCCTCGTTAAACCTGCAGCTCCTCCACACCCCTGACCTCTGCCCTTTCACACCCAACCGTTGGACATGTTCTACTGTGTGTTCCTGTATGTTGTCCATTGCCCATCTCCATCCTCTTGACAGTAAACCCCGTGAGGGCAGAGATTTTGCCTCTTTAGTGTGTTGATGTGTGCTAGAAAATAGTGTTGGGCACAGAGTAGGGGTGCGGCCAGTGCTCACGGAGTGCATGAGCGATGATGAAACAGTGGAGAGCACTGGGGAGGGAAGGACGCAGTTACTGGTGATAGTAGCAGGGGGGCAGCTGCCAATATTTGCTGAATCCAGACCTCATGCCACACCCTGTACCAAGGGTCGTATGTGTTTCTGCGTTAATTCTTACAGTGATGCTGAGAGATAGCAACTCATAATATTCCCATTTCACAGTGAAAGGCACCGAGCACAGAAAGTTTAAATAAAGTTGTCCAAAGGCACACAGCTGGTAAATGACCCACCTCTAGTTAGCTTCACAATCTGTCGCCTTTCGCTAATAAATCTAGAGGAAATTATGGAATGGGGATGGAAGGAGATGAAGAAGCATATTTCAGTGTTAACAGAGCTCTTCTCCATGTGCCAACATTTAATCTCAGAGTAATTTCCAGGTAAAGGAGGCTTTGCTGGTAGTTAACCCTACATCTCCAAAAATGCATTTTGTGTCCCTTTTTTTTCTTCCTGCTTAAATGAGTATTTCTTGGTCCTTTCCAGAAGTGGAATGCCTGAGCTGCAGTCCAGGGGAAGTTTGGTGGTTTCCATACCCTTTTGCAGGATGACACAGGACATGGCCTCTGGGGAAACATGAGTGGTGATTCCCCTCCCCCACAGGAGGGAGCAGATCCTGCTCAGCTGAGCTTCACGTTAATGCTTCTTCCATAGCCTTTATCAGCTGCAGAACATCCACTCCCTCACACTGTGATCCCTTGGAGGCAGGCGTGGACCCTGGAACGGCCTCCCTGGGGTGTTGACTTCTCTCTCCCAGGCTGGTCCCACCCTCAGTAACCTGAAGCATTCATCAATTGCCAGTTACTGCTCCCAGGTGTCTGCCTAGACTTTGTGAGCCTGTGTGAGACCTGGACACCAGTGGGAGGCCCGAGCTGAACATGAAGCTTCCCTGCCTTCCTGCTTACCAACTGTATTTGTTTTCTAAGCTCTGTAATAAATTTCCACAATTTAGTGGCTCAATACAACATACGTTCATTACCTCACAGTTTCTGCATTTATTATCTGGGTTCTATGCTTCAGGTCTCATCAGGCTGCAGTATAGGTGTTGGCTGGGGCTGCATTCTCACCAGGGGCTAAACTGGGGAGGGCCTGTGTCCAGGTGGAATTCCTCTCTTTGCATTCACAAAACTGTGATCCCTGTTTCCTGCTGACTGTTGCCAGGGGCTGCCTGCAGTTGCTGCCACATGCCTCTCACAGCACAGCAGCTTTCCTCTTCAAACCCAGCATGGGAGTGTCTAACTACAGTCTGCCAAGACAGAGTCTGGTGGCGTAATGCAGTCGCGGGAGTGATGGCCCAGTCCCTTTGCCATATTCTGCCGATTAGAAGCAAGTTGCAGGTCCTTCCCCCACTCAAGGGGGTGGATTACAGAGGCACAAGCACCAGAAAGTGAAGATCACTGGGGTCACTTAGGGTCTGTGCACCACGCCCCCACCCCCACTGCTGAGGAGCCTGGAAGCTCCCCTGCCAGCCCTACAGGCGAGCTGTGCTGATGTACTGGGTAATGTTTCCCAAGGGGCTGTGTCAGGGGGCGGGTTTCTGTGTGACCGTGCCCTCACCCAGCTGGCTCAGCAGTGTTAGCGAGTGCTGACGTCAAGGCCCCATCGTCTGCATCTGTCTCAGGGCCTTCACTTCCTCCCTCTCCTTCAGCCACCCTCAGTGTTACAAGCTTTTCATCTCAAACCGTGGGGTAATTCCTAAAAGGCCAGCGGAGCCTGTTAGTTGCTGAATTCCTTCAATATGTGTTGAATTGCTTTGCCTAGAGGCCATAAGCCGAGATATGATTTTACATGTTTCATCTAGAAAACATGTAGTGGTGCAGGATTCTGTTGATTTCCTGTGCTCCTCTCAGTTCCAGTATAACTGATTACTTATTGGAGAAAATGAACCCGAGCTGCCTCCCTTACAGTACCTCTTATTCCAGAACCAAAGATGGTAGTTGCTAGATCCTGTACTAGAGATTATTCCTTACAAAGCTGGTCTGTGAGTTGCTTAAACACGGACTCATCTGCCCTCCATTCATTTTGTGGGTGTTTTATTGAGTGAATATAGTATTGATTCGTTTTAAATGATTACTATTTTTCCACCTAATGATTTAAAATTTCCGTGAGTGTTTATAAATAACCTCCACACTGCCATCAGGTTGCCTGTGAGGGACAGCCGGGGCCTCACATCTTAGAACTCCCCTCCTTCTGTGCCCTTCTTTGTGGTTGGAGACTCTACACAATGCATATATGACAGTATGTCATGGCTGAGTCTTCTCTTCAAAGCTCTGGAATCTTCTGCGTTAGTTCCTCTTAATATGTCTTTCAATACGGGGGCAGGATGAGAATACAGGAAAATAATGAGAACCTGTGTCCAGTCTCTGATTAAGTTTTAAGGCAAGAAGGCTGGGGTGTAGAATTTGTTCATCCTTTTGGAGTTACTTTATTCCAGTCTGGAATCAGTTTATTCTTATACATTTCAAAAGTATGTGCTTCAGTCCCTACTCCTGGAAGAATGTGTTAGAAGGAAAAAAAAATCAAAATATGCTATTGACATTTGCCTACCCAGTCACAGTTGCATACCCGGGGAAAACCAAATCCTCTTTCATTTTTTCATGTTTGAATTTCATGTAAATCATACCCAGATGGTTAATGGCAACATAAATTGTTTTTAATGATATCTAAGAATCTTAGAAATTCATTAAAAAATATAGCAAATATGTATTCAGAAACTGTTTATCTGGTAGGATATATGTGTGTTAGGAGTTCACTGTGAAAGTGTCACTTTAAGAATTTCCTGGCCGACCTGCTCTCACACGGACTGGTAGGAGTTACTTTTTGGAAAGCTCCCCATAAAAGGGCCAAGAAGGCCCTGCTGACTCTTCAGCCCATAGGGAGTGGCTGTGCATGTGGTGCGGGTCCGAGGGAGAGCCCAGGGCCCTGGTTTCCAAGTCCCACTCTCCATGACCAGCCACTCAGAAGAGAGCATATTCTGCGGGCGCTTCCTCTCAGGCCACTTCCTGCTGCCTCGCCCAGCTGGCCAAGGAATCACCTTCAGTTTCTGACAAGCATGTGGCTTCCAGGAGTCCCTCAGGCCCCTGTTAGTGCCACACAGCAGGGCAAGGGGATGGCCTGAAGTGGTGGAATGTCCTCCTGCTGCTGGTCAGAGTGCCAGTGTCCTGCCACGTGCACATGTATGCGGGGGAAGGCGGGAAGCCACCCACCCCTGGGAGGAGGGCACAGGCTGGGCGCCTCTGCACTGACCAGAGGCGGAAAGTGTTCACCAACAACCCCTCACTTCTACTTCTCTCCCAGAACTGCATTTGCCTTATGTTCTTTCTTTAATACATCTTTAATTTTGATAGGTTTTGCCAGATTGCCCTCTGTAGGGGCTGAGCCCTTTAAATGTGTTTTAAAATTAATTTTTATTTTCTAAGTGCTAGATGAATGTATCCTCTTCAGAAAACGTGAAGAAATTAAAGATACAGCTGAAGTCACTTTTGATTATCCCTCCCCCCACCCAGGTCCCATGCAGACCTTCCCCATCCCCGGTGGCGAGCGCTCCCATAGGTTTGGTGCGTGTCTCACTAGTTCATCTTCTCTGCCTTGGCAGATAGAAACCAGTGGAAAATATATGTTACTGGGTGTGTGTGTTGTTTGATGCACATTTTACTAAATCCATCATTCTGTAATGGTGTGTTTTCCTTCATGAGGTGTCTTGGAAGTCTTTTGATGATGGAGATACATATATATGGTTGTTTACCATAAAATCATTTTCGGCATTGTCCTCTTGGGAAAGAATTTGGGGTTTCATTAAACACCCAGTGATTCTTTTTTCATATTGTGCAAAATTGTAATCTTTTTGTATATGTTTTTTCCTCTCCAGATCTCAGAAAACTGATCTTTACAATGAAGGCTACATCTTGGAATTAGATTGCTGTTCCTCCTTAGCCCATCTAACAGACCAAAAAATCATCCCAGAGTTCATTAAGAAGGTGAGCCCTGTCATCAGTACAGTGGAACAGGCTTGCAGAGCATTCCCTTGAGAGTGTGTGTGTGTGGCGGGGCTGGCTTAGGGCAGGTCAGCCACGCTCCCAGGCCAGGGCGGCAGCTAGTGCCTACTCTGACCTTGGCTGCTGGGCAGCCCCACAGGGGTGCAGCCCCCTCCCACAGATTGCTCAGGCGGAAGTTGACTCTGGAACAGGGTGGCTCCCTCTCCCCGCCCCAGGCCGGCAGGAATCTGGACCCTGTCTTCTAAGGCTGGGGTGGTGTTAGCAGCTGACAGGCCTGTGGGCCCTCTGGCAGGATGCGTCTGAAACCCTCAAGGTGGCGTGAGCCCCTCAGGAACCCCTTCCGCTTGTCCTGTGGGTCTTCACTGCCACGAGTCCCTTTCCCTTCTGAGTGTGGGAGCTTTCCAGAGTCCTGTGTCCACTGGCGTGCATCTGTACCAGGGAAAATTGCCTAGCTCAGCGGATTCATTCTCTCCCCAGAAATATGTCTGGTTTTGAGCGTCTCCTCATGCCATATGAGGTTTCCTGCCTAATTGCAGGGTCCACTCACTCAAGTTTCAGTGTGATGACATTTACTGCAGAAGGAATGTTCTTGCCCAAACGGGGGCTCAGTTTACTGCTTAATGCTTATTAACCTGCTCCCCCTTTCCCAGTCTTCTGCAATAACTGACAATTCCCCATCCTGTAGAGATGATTATGGCTTGTTTGAGTTCAATCAGTCTGTTAGGAAATGTAGTAATAAATATCATTGGCCATCCACTTTGGTCCAGAAGTAGTACTAGGCGCTTGGATACAAGGGGTGCCAAGACCTGTAGACTAGGAATCTGATAACAAATTAGGTCAAGATTTTGGGTAATTTTACTAGGACAATGGAGACTCTCTCTACTCTGGTAGAATTCAGATCATTGCTTATGAAATGGGGAAAAAAGAAATTTTTGTTCACACATGCCTAAGCCTGAGAACACAAGTGTTTGTATGACCCATGCCCATGACTGTATAATGAGGGCTCAGTTCTCTGGATTGCTGCAAATAAAATGTCTAAAAAAGTTGGGGAAGAACATTCTAGAGAGGGAGTTTTACCCCCATGATCTCATTACTGGGAAAAAATTGTTTTGGAAAGGGTCTTGTAATTAAGACTCAGATGGGAGGGATATTTGAGGAGCAAATGGTTAAGGTTGGTAGGGGTCATGAGGTTGTGTCCATACTATAAATATGTTTTTTTGAAAATATATAATGGGTGCATTTGTCTTAACCAAAACAGATCACAGCGTGTACAGCCAATCATATTGTGCTCACATCAGGCCGTAGGGAGGTGGGCAGCCTGAGTAGCAGGCACTTGGATGCTGTGTGTAATAGGGTCTGAGGTGCAGGACATCTGTCCAACAGAGAAGATAACCTCTAAGTTATGGTTGTGTACCCTGAAGGACATTAACCAGTTTTGTGTTTAACTTTTATACTCACCCCACTATCCTTTTCCCCCCACTGATTGGTGTGTGTGTGTGTGTGTGTGTGTGTGTGTGTGTGTGTGTGTACATCATTATCTGATGGCTCATTCAGTAATTAAATAAATCATTGATACCCGCTATCCTATGTTTGTATAAGAATTCTGGTTTTAACATGTTGAAGAAAGTACACTTTAAAGTCCATGGTGCCCTCCTGCACCACTGTACCCCTCATTTTCAAACAAGATTATTGTGTGTAGACAGACTAGACAATTTGCCGACTGGAGTAGCTAGGGGTTCTCTGACAGGCTTCTCTCCAGATATGCATCCCAGGCGCTCTCGCCTCCATTCTGCTCACTAGAGAGGCAGTTCCTGCTCGGGGTCAGCAGGGTGGAGGCAGAGCTTACCGACTTGGAGGCCCAGGTGTGTCAAGATGGTCCCACCATTGCCCTGCACCTCACTGTCCCCCGTGGCCAAGGGCTGGACCTGGAAGGGGCTGGCGGCTCCGGCATCACTACTGCCATGGCTTTAGCTCCTAGTCCGGTGGCCATGACAGCCGGGAGAAGAGGGACAGTGACACTGGACTCCATCTGCCTCCTCTCTGTTGCTGGATGACTTCTGGCTAAAACAGACCTCTGTGTGCGAAGAGCAGGAGAAACCGAATGCCCCTCTGCAGGGTCCACAGCTACCCCAGCTGATGGCAGATCTTACCCATGTGTGAATTTTTCTGTCATCACACAGGCAAAGACCACAGGAGCTGCCTGGGAAGAAATCAACTAAAAACCATTTGTGTTTTGTCAGTAAATATTTAATGAATAGCTTGGTCGTTATTTTATTTATTCATATACATGGTGGTGACACTTGTTAATTGCCATTCACTCAGGCCGAGATGAAGCTGTGTCGCTGGTGGCTACAGCTTGCCGTATTTGCTTGTTATCTGGGTCATTATTTTGTGTGAAATAATGGCTCCTGCTCCACTGACAAGTAGATCCGTCTCATGATGAAATGGTAATTAACTCTTTTGTCACTGTACCACCACGCAGGATAAGCTCATAGTCTCTGCCTGTTAAAATTTAATTCAAAGTGATTAGAATATTTTTCTTAAGAACAATGCCCTAATGTTACTTTTCTACCAAATGTTTTAAATTAGTAGAACCTTTGGTAGAGAACAGGGTTAGAAAGAGGGAAAGATTTCATTATTTTCCACAATTAGGAGAAATAAAGTCACTTGTCTCTGTGGCATGTAGATTAGCTGACGATGCCATCATTCGCAGCCCCCTCCACCACAACTCTTCACACCATTGAAGACAGTTGCATAAGGATGACTTGATTCCTTCCAGTGTGGCCTGAGGATCTCGAAGCATTTCCGCTGGTTGTGCTGAATCTGGGCCATCCTTTTGTTTGTCCCTCTTGCACCTTGCTGTGCTCCACCCATCTGGCCATTTGTGTAGGTGATTTGTGACAGACCATGGGACATGTGGCATGAAGTCCACCAGCAGGCTTGGGGAGGCCGTGTGCTCCCAGCCCAGCATGCGGAGGTGCCTCGGATGGAGAGTCATGAGGCGGCAGGCGAGCTGGGGTGCCACCTCTGCTCCCCTGAGACAGAGGTTCAGCCCGCAGGGCACCTCCAGAGCCTGTCTGGTGGCGTATTTGTGGGACCCTTTGGAGTTTCCTGTCCTTCAGAGTTCACAAGGATTGTGAAGGAGACAAAATGATACGGCATGAGGAGCGTGCTGTTCATCCAGATGGCTGCCATTCCTTGGGGCTTCCTGGGGAGATGCTCACGTGGGCGGCACGTTTCAGAGTCATTGCACCCCTCTTCAAGGTGGTGCTTGGAGACCCTGGTTAGGAGCCCCCTCTGGCAGCAGTGTCTCCCTTCCAGACTTGCGGACACACGGTGCTGAGGGGATGAGGGCTTCCCAGGGCCGGGGCTGCCCAAAGGCTCAGGAGGTACCAGCAGGCTGCCGGACCTGGGGGAGCGGGGAGCTCCTGTGGCCAGGTGGCCGGGCTGGGTTTCAGGGAGGCGTGGTGGTGTAGGACGGGGGGTCCTAGAAACTGAGGGGCGGGGTGAGCAGTGCTGTTCTGGGGTAGGCAGAAGCACGGGAGGAGGGCTCAGGGCTGAAGGGGTAGGTCCTGTTTGGCCTGAGTGTGGGATGGAGAAAGGGTGGGGTTCTTTTGATCAGGTGGCCCTCAGCCCTCCTCAGGCAGGCTCAGGTGAGTCAGGTGTGGTTTGCTACAAAGACGCAGGAAGTGGTTTGGAGCCCCAGGCTCCAGGGGCAGGAATTCCCCTAGGGCAGGAACACAGAAAGCTAAAAAAATTTTTTTTTAAAGATGAAGAAAAGGATTGGTCTCTCTGACTGTATTATAAGCTGCTGAATTATATATATGTATCTGTAGATTTATTGGAACTTTTAAGTGGGATTTTACTTCATAGAGGGATTCCTGATGTGTGTCAAGCAGACCCTGTTCTAAAGAGCTTTACCTGCACTATACTGTTAACCTCCATCTCACTCCCCTGAAGGCTTAGCCCCATTTGCCAGGTGAAGAAACTGAGGCACAGAGAATCTAATCAGTTTTCCCAAAATTGCAACTGGGAAAAGCAGGCCTGGGATTGGAACCCAGCCTGCCCCACCCTGAGGCCACAGTCATGACCTTTGGGTCTGGAGTGGGGCTGTCTGAGCCAGACGGCGAGGTTGGGCATGGGAGACAGAGGGGTGCAGCTGTGTCTGGTGTGTGGGGACAGACTTTGGAGCACCTTGAAGGCCTCCCCTTAGTGGAGGCTGGGTCTCTCAGCCTTTTTGCCCATGGGAGAAAGCCACACCCCTGCCTTTGTCCAGGGCCCTTTGCCCCCTCAGCTCTGGGCAGCTTCTTCAGATGCTCCCCCTGTTAGATGGAGGGTGAGCACTGACCCGCATGTCTGCTTAGGACTGGGCTTGTCTTCCACTAGGCCGAGGAGTCTTCAGAATGTAGGCCACTGAGGGAAGGCAAGGACCCCCACCTTGTCCTGCAGGTGGGGGATAACTCGTGCTCAGAAGCTCAGTAGCCTGGATAAGCTGGATGCGTTGCCCTTTAGAAAACCGAATGGTGCTGCTTACGTCTTGACCTAAAGAGAGAAACCCAACAGATTAAAAAATCTCATCAGTTCCTTTTAATGAAACAGAATATCTCAAATCCCCAGGTCTGTGGAACTTTGCCTGTGGTATATAAATGACTCATCATTTACTTTCTGGCTAATTGTCGAGTACTCAGGGCCTCATTTCTGCAAGTGCAGTGCAGAGAGTTAATTAGCACAAAATGCCGATTCAGAGCGAAAGGAAGATTATGTTAAAAAGGGTTCCCTTCCTCGTGCACCCCACTGCACCCCAAACCAGGAGAATCGTGATGTTTTAAGCAGGCGACTGGCAGGGGTGGGGAGGATGCAAGCGAAGTGGCGTGACTGCCGCTGTGAGCGTGCCCCCGATGGAAGGCAGGCGGGAAGTGAGGCGCCCCTGGGGATGGGGTGTCCTGCGTGCTGCTGTGTCTCTGGAACTTCATGACCATTTG